GATGCCTGATTAAATGAAGCCCAATTAGGCGGCTAGTAATGTGATCTCCTTTGCTTGCCTCTGCCTCCTTAAAAGTTCAGTCTAGAGCAGTAGTTGTTAACCTGGGGTCCACAAACTTTTTAAAAAAAATTTTGATAATTGTATTTAAATTACTGGCTTCTTTTATAATCCTATATATTTTGTTTTATGCATTTAAAAACATTATTTTGAGAAGCATCTGTAGGTTTCATCAGACTGCCAATAGGGTCTGTGACAAAAAAGGTTAAGAAACCTAGGAGGAAGAGAGGAAAAGAAAGAAAAGAGCATGATTTATACAAGAACGTCCCCAACTATTCCTTATGATATATGTTTATAAAATCATTCAGTGCTCTTCTGAGGGAAAATCAGAAATGTATATATTCTGGCTTTTGGTCCCAAGTAATAGATTCATCTCCTTAGTCAATTGGTGTTAGTGGTAGACATAAAAATTCCATAGGTGTTCTGATTTTAAAGTTTTCTTATTCTCTCTCAGTCACAGAGCAATAGAAAAACCTTGATCCTTCTTCTCTACTGGCCATTAGCTGAGCAAGTATGCATCGTGAAATAGAAAAAGCTGGAAAAGGTGATAACCTTTAGAGACTAGATGTAAGAATTTCACATATTATAAGGGAATGTTCTGTGAATATGGAATCCATCTCATCTGTTATGTGCAAAAATAAAATGCATCCCTGCCCATGTTTTCCCCAAATGCATAGAAAAAGCCCCAAATGTTCAACTATATTAGAGATTAAGATACAGTATTGCACAGGAGGCAGGTAGAACTGACCTCTGTCTTTCCTTACTTGTCTCTCCTATATCGCTGTCATAATAACAACCCACAAGATTCTGTCTGGAGGAGTAATCTTCCTGGCCTACTAGTTTGCCTTAAAATGTTACAGCTCCAGAGACTATGGAAAAAAAAAAAAAGCAATTGTCATTTGTTGTACTCCTGAACATATGGAAGTCAAGGAAGAATCTGAACCACCACCAGTTTTTGGAGAAGTGAAATCAGCTAAATATTTTCACAGGTTAAAAGTGAAGGCTTGAGTAGGATTCTTTAAAAAGTAGCAGTCCAGCTATATAACCTCATCTTGGAGGAAGGTAAAACATTTCTGAAAGCATACCACTCGTCAGTTTTTCTCCAGACCCCATATGATTAAGGTGTTACTTATTGCTTCTCTTAAAACAGCACTAGAATAGTTTTCATGGGGGGGGGGGGGGCGGCGAGGGGAATGTAGATAGTGTGGCTGGAGTCAGTAACGTGACAAGTCCAAGACTATTTGGCAGATTTAGGAAATACCTAGAAGGTGTTAATTCACCAAATCTGGACATTTTACATAAACTATAAGACCTCTGACAGTAAAACCAAACACATTTGATTCAAATTTTTTAAATGAAAGTAAATTTTAAGAATTTACAGATTATTTGGAAGAAGATAATGGAACTATTAGTATATTCTTCAAGCAAATAACATTCAAGGTTGTAGAATACTTTTCAAATATATTTTGCATCTATGCTTAAATTTGCTAAAAATTACAATGACATCACAAAGTTAGTGCAGTCAAATTTCACTGTATTGCACGGTAGTGATATTACAGCATATTTACTTGTTACATGACAATTAAGAGAGTACTTATACAGCAATCATAATAATATCACAGTATATCCCCATCATCCTGACATCACGACATGCTGCTTCCATTACATTCTGAGTCACATTTATAGTCATGTCATGTTCATGTCACAATCTGAATCATGCAACAGGCATTTTGGAGTAATAACAGTCAGTAGTCACGTTTTTGGAACTTCTTACATTGAAGTATTTAATGCAATGGCAGCTAATCTTCTTTCACTTTTATGGAACATTTTAATAGAAAACAAATGTAAATTGCTTGTTTCACAGTGGCCATACAGAGCACAAAAATATCAATCACAAAAACGTCACTTAAGAAAAGTTAATAGCAACTAGATCACTTATATACAACAGTTGTTCTAAATGTAGTAATTCTTTTTAGTATAACAATTACTTTCCACTTCTGTGGAGGCAAATGCATACATGCAAAATATATTTCAATAAAAGATCTTATTAATTAAACAACCTTTTCTTGTTTTGTTCACTGTAATCAATGTTCATTTTCACAGGGGTTGTTGGATTTACTGTTGAGTCATGCCCTCATGCTAGTTTAAAATAATTACCTAGCATAAAAAGTCTGAAAAAGCTTTAAATTAGTGTTTGAATTTCTATTTCAGCACATATGCAACCATATGCTGTGGTATACTTCTCTTGGATAACACCTGATACTTTATGAAATATCTGTAAAGATTTTAGTCAACCTGATTAATCTAAGGTTCAATATTTAAACCATGTTGCCAATTACTCTTTCTAGAAGATAGCAGAAGAAATCAAGGAATAGCAGATTAATAGAAACTGGGGGAAATAGAGAATATGAAAAGTGGCAATATTTTAAGAATTATTACTAAATGCAGAATGGCTATATTCTAAGTGATATTTAGAAATGCCAGTTTCTCTCCACACAATGAAATATGTGTAACAAAAAAAAAGTTCAAGTTAGAAGGTAAAACAAACCACATTTAAACTATACTTTTTCTGAGGATAAATAAATTTCTTATGATTCTGTGCTGCACAATTCTAGGAAATGGATAAAAATCACACCACAGAAGCTGAAATGTTCATTTAGAAATTCCTTAAAAGGAAAAACATGGATTCAGAAAACTGATGATAAAGCAAAAACAAAAAGGGCGCTAATGTTACATAATCTCTTTTTGGGGGTCTTATATGAACTCTAATTCCTTCCTTCATATTGCTGTTGATGGAGAATTACAACCAGAAAAACATAAATGTGACTTTATACTCCTACCTTTGTTTGGGCAGTTTCTGGATTATGTGAATGAAGTCACTCACCCATGTTAAACAATTATGAGCCCTATGGAATAGCTTCCAACTTTTAAAGCTCAAAAACTGGACAAAATACAAAACGAGGAACACAAGAGAAAAAAAATAGGAGTGTGCATGGTTGGGTTAATTTCCTAAATAAACATTAGGATCTGCAATGGAGATATATTTGGATCACTTTCTATTCACTTATCGTGATACTCAGGAAGCTAATAACAGGATTAAGCCATTGAGTGAAAATACTAGTGGTCAGAAGAGTAAGCAGGTTTTAAGACATGCAAATGAAAGAATAGAAGCAAGTAGCTATGTCCTTTCTGGTTAGCAGCTGATCTCCCTTTCCTCAGGTCTAAACTTAACATCTGAATAGTATCAGTTTTTTTTTTTAAAGGGAGAAAAAAGAAATGAAGGGCAGGAATAAGGAGTGGCATATATAATTAACCACAAAACACGCTCAAGAGTTAACTTGAAGAAGTGACATTTCAACCTGGAATAATCTATACTCACTTTACTTAAAAGCAGCAGTTTTCCTAATCCCATTCTTTCCAGTTTCTGCTACCTGTCTACTAATTGTAGATTGTATTACTATGCCTCCTGAATGTCTAACAAAGACAGGAAAACTAAGAATAAGCTTTTCTTTCAAACTTCCATGAAGACAAGAGAAAAGCAAGAGTTGGGCTTCCTCTTTTAAAAATAATGCGTAAGAAGTCATAAAACTGATCCGGTACCTAGAACCTACCTAAGGCAAGAAGATTGTCCTTTGAAGTTTATGGCTCTAAAGAGCACACCAACATAAAGAGCACTGTGGAAAATGACAGGGAAACCCTTTTAATAGTGGGAGCACTTGCCCAAAGGATCTGCAGCTTGGAGGGAAACCAACAATCCAAAATCTGAAGGTTCATTTAATTACTAAATACTTGGAAGAACCACAGCTGGCCTGGGGCGGGGTGAGAAGTTCATTTTTTTTTTTTTTTTTTACTTTCTGTAAGGAAACTAACTAGTTGGAGGACGGCAGGTTTTGACCTTTGAGGTCACCTAAGCCAATCCCTCATTTTTACAGGCAAGGAAACTGGGGTCCAGGCATGGGAAGTGATGTGGCCCAGGTCACACCGGCAGGCTCGAGATTAGGAGATCTTCAGCCCCCAGACAAGGCAATGCAGGAAGCAGGCACAGTGTCACCTGGGCTGAAAGGACCTGGCTCCCAGGAACCTCCAAACTCCAGGAGGAGAACACCTCTGGCTGAGGGGAGGGAATATTTCCAATGGGGGCGGGGTGGGGTAAAAGAACATCTCAGACTGAGGGAGTGTGAAGAATGACACAGGATGGGGGGTGAGTGAAGACGATCTCTGGTTGGGAAGGAGGGAGGAACACCTCAGGAAGGGAACAGACATTTCAGGCAGCCGGCAGGTAAAGAACATCTCAGACCGACGGGGAGTGAGGAGCATCTCAGGCTGGCGGGGGATGGATGAAGAACATCTGGGGGGAATCTTGGTCTGGGGGAGGGAGTGAAGAACATCTGAGGCTGGGCTGGAGGAACATCTGGGGAAGGAAAGAATATCTCAGTGGGGGGAGAGAACATCTGGGGGAGAACCTCAGGCTGGAGGGGCAGAGAACATGTGGGGGAGAACCTCAGGCTAGAGGGGAAAAGAACATGTGGTGGAGAACCTCAGGCTGGAGGGGAAGAGAACATGTGGGAGGAGAACCTTAGCGGGGGAGGGGGAGAGAGAACGTCTGGGGGGAAACCTCAGGCTGGAGGGGAAGAGTACGTGTGGGGGAGAACCTCAGGCTGGAGGGGAAGAGAACATCTGGGGGAGAACCTCAGCAGGGGAGGGAGAGAACATCTAGGGGGAGAACCTCAGGCTGGATGGGAAGAGAACATCTGGGAGGAGAACCTCAGCGGGGGAGGAAGAGAATCTCAGCGGGGGTGCTGAGAACCTCCTGGGCTGGAGCATCCCTACGTTCCACTGACACTCTCACTCCCTCCCCACCCCACGCCCCTGGCCTCGGGCCGCCCTCCCTCCCTCCCTCCATCCGCTGGGCGCGGACCTCCGCTCCGAACCGCCCGACCGACCTAAGAGCTGGTCCAGGGCCGGGAGGCCGGCGGACACCAACAGCTGTCCATTCCGCACCGACGGCCGCGTCCCCGCAATGGAGCGCAGCCGAGCGCCGCCGCTGCCGCCGCTCCCGGGCGCGGGACCCTTCCTGCGGAAGCTGCAGCCGCCGCCGCTGTCCGTCTCGTCGCCTCCCGCCGCCGCTGCCATCGCCGCCCTCGGGTCTCCCGCTGCCGTTCGCCCGGCACCGCCGACGCCGGTTGTCAAGGCCGCCATCTTGTTTCTCCCCGTGTTGACCCTAGCGGAACTCTGGGAGCCGGGACCTGCCCCGCCCCGCCCCGCCTCCTGTAGCACATCCAGCCAATGGATCGCGGGTTTCCTGCCTCCGAACGCCAATCAGGTAGCGCGTTGCTGAGAAGTGGGATTGGCTCGTGGACTTGTGGACGCCTGTTGGGTCCAGGTGAGAGTGCTAGGGGGAGAGCCGAGTGTCGGGTGAGGGGAGTTTGGGGGAGCCTGGAGGCCGAGCCTGAGGGGGCAGCCGCGGTCAAGGCCTGTCAGGGGCCGAGGCGGAGATCCCGAAGTACAGAAAGAGTGGAGGGAGGGGTTGTCGTCGCCCCGGATCGCCGTCTGCACCGTCTCCCTTCTCCACCCGGCGCGGGGAGGGGGAGCCACCGCCTCGGGGCCTTTCCTCGTCCCCTTTCCGTGGGGGAACAAGTCGGGTCCCGATGAGCTCTCTGCCGCCCGAGGATGCTTTGTTAGAAACCTAGGTCGGGCTTCCGATGGCAAGAGCCTTCCCTTTTTCCGCGCGGCTGAGCCGGGATCTTGGAATGAAAGACCTTGAACTTGGGGCTGGGGGTGGGGGGGGATGTGACTTCTTTCTTTTGGGGGGGGGGGAAGGGCAGGACCTGGGATTTGTCATCCCAGTGTGGAAACTTGCTCCCCTGGTGCTGCTCGGCGCCGCAGAAGCCTTACCGTTTGTTGTGTGTAACTTAAGAGGCTGTGGTGGGGGTAGGACGTGGGGCTGGAGAGCCCACGACTTCGGAGCGTGGGTCCGAGGGGCGTGGAGGGAAAGGAGCCCACGCGGGGTTTCCTGACCCCCGGGCGCCGGGCCGAAGAAACAGCCTGACCTCTCCACTTATCGGGAGACGCTTTTAGTTTATTTTAATTAGTGCTTCTGAAACACTTGGAGATCCTCTGGTGAGGAGGTGTGTGAATGCAAGTGTTACCCTGACAGAGCCTCGTTCACACATTTAATTGTCTTTTACTGTTAACGCAGCTGCAAACAACCAAAATACTTTTGGTATCTTTCCCCCAAAATTGACATAAAGAATTAGAGGTGTATGTGTTTTCTTTCGTGATTATAGGTGAACTTTGAACTGCGAGCTGCCTCATTAGAATAGAGAATTTATAATGTGTGAAAAATTCGTGCATACTTTGTAGCCGTATGGTTCCCTTTATCTGGTTTTTTTTAACTTTGCCCTTTCAAAATGAGCCGGTTGTTTTTTGTTTTCTGTTTTTTATTTTATTTTTTTGTTTTTTGTTTTTTTTTTTTTAACACTTTATGGCTAGTCAAAAATCTCAAATTATGCCTTCCTGATTTTAGGATGCAGTATTTTAGTCAATATGGTATTTTAAGGAGTTTTGTACTTAAAATGCGTGGAAAATGAAATTTTCATTTGTGTGGAATTGTATTTTTCTGTCGTAGGTGAATTTTCTTTTTCTTTTGAAGCATTTTCATCAACACTTAGGTTCAACGGGTGCTGAAGCTATGGGAAACCACCATTTCTGAAATTTCACCACTACAAATCTTTACTTTAGTAGCATTTTGCAAGTACCTCTTAAGTGCCTACAGCACTATGCTTGCTATTTGAGAGGCTATACAAATGATGTCAAAAAACCAAAATATTATTCACCCTTCAGACTTAGGGGAGATCATTGCACAGGTGATTCAATGTAGTGGGAAAAGACCAATGCATTTGAACTTATGCTAAATACAGAACAAAGTATACTGAACTAAAATTTGTGGTGCAAATGTACTGTAACATTGAGATCAACCTCAGAGGCTGTCAATTCAGAACATTCTAATATATAAACTGGTGTTCACTGCTGTTTTGATAACCATAGAGCTTGTGTTTGACCTGAAATGTTATAGACATTACTCTTAACAAGCTTTTCTTACATACATATTTCTTTAAAAAACAAGGGAGTCTTCCTGCCCTAGTCTTGACTTCCTTTGGGTTTTAACTGTTTAAATTTTGTTTGATTGCTGGAACTGATGGGATACCCTAACTTTCAGTTTAGATAGAGAAGTAAAAGATATATACGTATTAAAGCATTATTGAAATCCTAGGGATAGGGACTAGATCTGTAATTTCATTGTCACCAGGAACTCTTCTTTGAGAAAATGCCTTCTACCAGGGCAGAGCCACCCCTCTGCCTACAACACTGAGAAGTAAGATGTCTTGCCCATGGTCACAAATACAGTTCGTAAGGTGCCAGAGAAGGTTCTTGAACCCAGGTCTTCTTTCCTTTGAAGTTAGTTCACTATCCACTAAGGCTGGGTATCATAGGAATATATAAAATTGATCTTTTGTGTTTTGGCCAGTAGGCAAAACCTTTTAAAATAGACATGTAATTAAAAAGTAATTTGAGAAAGGAGAGCATTTTTAAGTGAATCCTGGAAATCTTTACTGAGGAGGTAGCAACCGGGCTCAACCTAGAAGGAAGACAAGCTCAAGCTGAAGTAGCACATCCCAGGATTCTGCTAAGTTTCTTGGTAGGAACTATGCAATTAAAACCAAGAAGTTTCATGGCAAAAATGAAAAATGGACATTCAATTCTGTATAGACCTGTAGTTTTAATATTTTGCTCAATCATGAGAATTGTAAAGACAACAGAAAATTAAATGTCAGGCTAAGAAATTTGTATTTTATTCCAGAAGCAATGGGAAACCTCTGAAGATTTTTGAGGTGAGTGATGTGGTCAGACTTGTGTTTTAAGAAGATAAATTATTTTGGCAATTCTGTGAAGGGTGAATTGCTAGGAGAGCAGAGAGCTGTTAGGAACGCAATGATAAAAGGGTTTGCTTGTATTGTAAAGTTCAAGTCTTCTACTGAGCAAAACCCATTTGCCAACTTATAGCAGTTCCATCCTGTATTTTGAAATGAGACTTAGTATTCTTTGATTTCAAACATACTTTGGTACTTTTGAGTTTATGGTCTTATATGGTACACTTTCAATTATTGTAGATTACAACTCATTTATGCTTGCTTCTGTCTAATTCTTATCCATATCACCTCATAATTCCTTCATGTAAGATCTGCCCAATGCACCCATAGCCTTCCCATGCAACTTTTAATATATTGTGGATTTTAACATAATTGATACATTTTCTCCTAATGGATTTATGGTAGGCACTGTGCTAAGACTTGGGGATACAAAAAGAGGTAAAAGATAGTTCCTGCCCTCAAGGAACTCACAGTCTAATGGGAGATACTACAAGCAAGCAATTATATACAATTTATTTACATTGTTTATTTACAGTTGTTGCCTTAAGTGAAAAAAAACAAAACAAAGCAGTCTTATTTTTCCTTCGATTTTCCATAAGCCTGTTTTACTGAGCCCTTTGGAACACCCTTTTTACTATGAATAGAATTCCTCTAGGTTTTGATTAAATATTGTTGACCTCTTTGCTTTTCCATGACTGCTCACTTTGAAACCTTTTCCAATGGAGATTATTCTTCCTACTTTCTTGTCCACTTCTTCAGTGCTTCAGGGATGGTTCATGCAGTTATTTAATAAACATTAAGTGCTTGTTATGTGCCAGGCACTGTGCTATGTGCTGAGGATAGAAAGAGGCAAAAGACAGTCCTTTAAAGAATTCACAATCAAACTGGGGAGACAGTACACAAACTATTATCTGTAAGCAAGACATACATAGGATAAATTGGAAATCATCAACAGATTTTAGCTGTGACTTAAGGGAAGCTAGGAAGTAAAGATAAGGAGGGAGAGAATTCCAGGCATGGGGGACAGCCATTTGAAAATGCCCAGAGTTGGGAGATGGAGTGTAGTGTGCTAGGCATATCAAGGAGGTCAATCTCACTAGATTACAAAGTATACAGGATTGAGTAAAGTGTAATAAGAATAGAAAAGTAGAGTGGGGGGGTGGGATGCAAATTATAAAGGTCTTTGAATACTAGAGGATTTTATATTTGATCCTTTGGGGGGGAGGGGTCATGACCTAGTCATATTTGCATTTTAGGAAAATAGCTGGGCTAACGATGGCTGGACAGACAGGAATAGGGAGAGACTCTAGTCAGTGAGACCATTCAGCAGTCTATTTCAGTAGTCCAGGTGTGAGGTGATGAGGACCAGCAGCAGTGTGGTGGTAATTTCAAGAGAGAAGGGGTTGTATACAAGAGTTGTGAAAGTGACATCAACAGGATTTAGCAACAGAGTGGCTATGAGTATGAGAGTGTGGAGTTAGCAACAACTAGGTTGCTTAGGAGGATGGTGGTGCCCTCAGTACTGAAAGTGCAGTTGGGACAAGGGGAATGTTTTTGGGTGGAGTGAGGAAGATAATGAGTTCTGTTTTGGGCATGTTGAGTTTAAGATGTCTATGGGACTCCAACTAGAGATGTCTAATAGTTGGAGATATGATAATAAAGGTCGGGAGAGATTAGGGCTGGATTAATAGATTTGAGAAACATCTGCATAGAGATGATAACTTAATCTGAAGGAGCTGATGAGATCACCATGTAAGGTATAAAGGAAGAAGAGAAGGCAGAGGATATCTACTATTAGTGGCCAGGATCTGGACTTCACAGGTGTGGCCTGAGTAAAGATCCAGAAAAGAAGCTGGAGTGGTTATAGATAGGGTAAGAATGATAGCAAAAACCTAGAGAGGATAGTTCCCATCAACCTTAGTATTCTTATCACCTTCCTTGGTCCCTCCGATTGGAGGGTGGAGCCATGAACTATAAAGAGAGAGCATAGCTTAGAGCATTTTTTTCAAATTCTGGCTGTACTATTTTGAGACTTCTCTGACTTCTCCACCATTCCTCTCTCCTTTTATCCCTCCCATGGTGCCTCCTTCTGCCTCTCAGCTTTTTGGCTTCCATATATGTGTTGTTTTCCCCCCTTAGATTGTAAGCTCCTTGAGGGCAGGAACTGTGTTTTTTGTATTTGCATCCTTAGTGCAGTACCTGGCACATAGTTGGTGTGTTTATTAGTGAGAGTATCCAGGAAGAGGGGGCAGGAAACAGTATCAAAGGCTGCAGAGAGGTCCATAAGGGTGAGGATTGAGAAAAGGCTGTTAGATTTAGCAATTTATAAATAGTAACTTTGAAGACAGCAGTTTTGATTCAACAATGAGTTTGGAACTTCCAGGTTGTAGAAAAGAGACAGAGGGAAAGTAAGTGGAGGCACTTTTTATAGATGACCTCAAGAAATTTAGCT